CATCCTCTCATGAATGTGAAGGCTAGCATCAGACACTTCATATACTGAATTAAAACAGGATCAGGAAAATACGTAGTATAAAATTATGGAATGTTCAGTAGATAACTGGCCTCTAATAATAAACTGATTTTTAACTTCTGAGCACATTTCCAGTTTAGTTTTATAGAGCCAAATATCATGGAGGGAGCAGCCAACTGTAGAAATTATTGTAGGTGGGGCTCGCTTTATACTTTGAGTGAACAGTCCTAAATTTCAAAGTCTAAAGTATATAATCAGATAAGTAGTAAGCTACAAATTTAAATAGCATCTTCTGTTTAAGCACAGTGGATAGTGTATCTGTACTTGGCAATGTGCCAGGTGCCATAAGGCCCTTAGGAGGCACTGACATTTAGATCCAATCGATGCATACACAGGTTTACATGATACCTACCTGCTTCTGTCTGAGGGCTCAAAAAGGCCACCTGGGAGAACTTCTCATTTGTATAAAGGTGAGGGTTAGCTTCTATCTTCCTCACAGAGCAGATGAGAGATAAGGTCAATAAACTCTTACAATCATCCAACTAGTGACTCTGCAAGAGGTTTTCTTTTCTTTTTTTAATCGATTTTGTGGATATATTTGCATATAATAAAATGTACCCGTTTATAGTGTGCAGTTTGAGAAGCTGTGAAAAACGTATCCACCCAAGTAACCACCGCCACAAGCAACATCTAGAATACTTCCACCACTGCAAAAAACTCCCTCTTGCTCCTTAGAGTCAGTCCCCGACCCTAAGCCTATCAACCACCAATGGGCTTTCTGTCACTACTGCTTAAGTTCTGTCCATTCTAGAATTTCATTTAAATAGAATCATACAGCATGCAGTCTTCTCTTTCTGTTTTTTTTCATACAGCATAAGGCTTTTGAGTAATCCACATTGCTGCGTACACTGATAATTCACTCCTTAGGGAACATTCCACAGCAGAGATAGAATATAATTTGTTTATTCAGTCACATGTCGATGGACATTTGAATTCCTTTTACTGACTATTATAAGTAAGACTGTTATCAACCTCTGTGGACATGTCATTATGTGGACATGATTGTTGGTTTTTTTTTTTTTTAAGATTTTTAAAATTTATTTGACGGAGAGAGATCACAGGTTGGCAGAGAGGCAGGAAGAGAGAGAGGAGGAAGCAGGCTCCATGCTGAGTGGAGAGCACAATGCGAGGCTCGATCCCAGGACCCTGAGATCATGACCTGAGCCGAAGGCAGAGGCTTGACCCACTGAGCCACCCAGGCACCCCTGTGGACATGTTTTTTATCTCTCTTGGGTAAATGCCTAGGAATAGAGTCTCTGAGTCAAAAGTGCATGTCTGAATTTACAAAGAACTACCAAATGGTTGACCAAAGCGGTTATAGCATTTTTACACTCCCACCAGCAAAGGGTGAGAACGCAAATTGCTCCACGTGCTTGCTAACACTTGGTATTGTCAGTCTTTCTAATGTTAGCCACTGCCTAAAAGAAAAGCAGAAACCAGGCTTTAAGAATGCAAATCAACCGAAGCACGTCAGTACATAAGCATCTGCACACTATTCAAGATGCCATCTGGGAAGTCCAGTGAGAAACACTAAAATTCTGTCCTGTGAATGAACTGGAGAGATTATTTCTCTCCTAACACAATCACAGCTAAATAACCCAAGAAAGATCATCTTATTTCCCCTGCTCTATCATCCTTCTGGATTCCTCCAGAGGATATGCAATTCTCTCCAAAAATAATAACTCTTGGGATCACAGGCCTCAACCTTACAGATTTTAAATTCTGCCAGACACTGGGGGGGTGGGGGGTGGGTAGAGTTCACACATACAAAAATCAGTAAGACATGGGATATAGAAAACACCCATGCTTATATGCATATGTTGGCAAGCTTTGAAAGCTGCGATAGTCTTCCCTTAAAAAAATGTAACTCTTGGGACGCCTGGGTGGCTCAGTTGGTTGGACGACTGCCTTCGGCTCAGGTTATGATCCCGGAGTCCCGGGATCGAGTCCCACATCGGGCTCCCAGCTCCATGGGGAGTCTGCTTCTCCCTCTGACCTTCTCCTCGCTCATGCTCTCTCTCACTGCCTCTCTCTCAAATAAATAAATAAAGTCTTAAAAAAAAAATGTAACTCTTTCTGCTGTTTGAAAAGTGGTTAAATACTATTTGCAGACGTTGCCCTAATTTGAGCACATTCTGCCCGTTCAGAATGGAGAGCTGGTTTTCATCAGGCAAACTGCAAGAGCGGAAGAGCCTGACCTCCCAGAAAGCTTGGTGGTTCACACTAATAGCAGGAAGGATGCTCCCATTCCAGGGCTCTGCTTCCACTTTGCACCCACCTACGTGAGTGGATCTACAAAGAAGTCATCCTTAGACCGAGAAGGAGAAAAGGAGCAACCCAAAATCCAGCATAGTCTTTTAATGAGGCTGCCCTTCCCTCTGCTGGGAATGTTTGTGGCACATACACCATCTCTTTTCAGAACCAGGGAGACTCTACTTTTCTCGCAGCTCTGGCTTCTTTGAGCTGGGCCAAATTCTCCTCACATATGCATTCCCATTACTGCATTTTTTTTCCCTTTTTAGCCTTTTTGCAGTTAATAATCATATTTATTTTAGTGACTAGTTGATTAATGCCTGCTGCTCCATTCCCCTCAAACAAAGTCAGCTTCGTGGGTTTTTCTCCTAACCGTATATACGCCCGTGCCTAGAGCACTCGGCACATAAAAAGTACTTAATAAATATCTGAGTAATTAATTACTTGTTGATTAAAACATCACCTCATCAGAGATGTGAGCGATACGCCTCTAAGCTTCACGTAAGTGAGAAGATAAAGAAGACTGTTCCCTTCTCAATGAGAAGAAAAATCAAACTGCAAAAAACTTGGGAGTCAAAGTTGGCCTGGTCTTCTCCTGACGCAGCTTCCATTAAACCATCTGCTTAAACGTGAGCTCTACTTTACCAACTATCATCTCCCAATTCAGATCCATGAAGAGGAGAAAGGCTATCAGGATAAACTATTTTCCTCTGTCAGAATTGAATTCTGAAAAAGCAAGTCTCATAGCTTCGAATTTAAATGTAAAGTCTGGGTAATCAGCAAGGGAAATGCCGTTACTGGAGGAGTCCAAGTCAGGATCTCCCGTGGCAGGGGGATATGGTTCTGCTGTTTCTTGAGACAAGCAGGCAGAGTCTCCGTTTCCCTCTTGCAGACTTCATAATCAGAAATAGGCTGACAGCAGCATATGCCTCACATGCAAACAGACCGCCGGCTTTTCCAGTTAGAGAGGTACATACCAGGCAACACTCTAGGGACTCTTAGATCATCCATCTTTTCTTCAACTACCCATCTTCAAGAAATCTCCATGAAACACAGACCAAATAGAAATTAAAAAAATTACAATCACTATGGGTCCCTACTCAGCTCATGTTCGGCTCAGCCCAAACATACACATGAATTTACTGTAATGCATCTATTCATTATCAGTGCAAGCAAAACTCTAGAATTGAAATTTAAGACTACGAAGATGTTTTGAAGACCTGAATCTCATTAACAAAATACTAGGAAGGTAATCAGGAAAGGCTACTTCTTTCTTTCACTTAGTCGGTAGATATTAACCGAGGGCCTATTATATGCCAAGCACTGCCCAGCATGCTAAGGAAATGCAAACGCCGTCCAATTATAACCCAATTTTACTAATCTAATCCTTATTTGGAATTCAGAAAGGAAGACCAATATTGGAAGGTCAATTCTCTCACACTCATTTAAATGAAAGCTTTTTCCTAACCACTGAAGACACATTCTTACCAAAAGGTTATGTTGTCATTTTATTATAAACTGAGATACAGGGGCACCTGGGTGGCTCAGTTGGTTAAGTGTATGCCTTCGGCTCAGGTCATGATCCCAGGACCCTGGGATCAAACCCCCTGTCAGGCCCCCTGCTCATCGAGGAGCCTGCTTCTCCCCCTCCCTCTGCTGCTCCCCTTGCTTGTGCTCTCTTCCTCTGTCAAATAAAGAAATAAATCTTAAAAAGGAGATAAACTAAAATACAGTCTTATCATTATCTCTATATAGTCTTCTTTTTTTTTTTTTAATCTTTACATATTCTTTCTGGAGCAAACCTATCTACACACTGAATTCTGATAAAGATCAGATGCTTTTTTTTTTAATTTAAAAATGGGTGAAAAAAATTAAGTTTTATTCCCAAGCCACAACTGAAGGAAGGAAAGATGAATTAAGGTAAGCTTAATTCTTCCATTGGCCAGTTACAAGACATATTATTCGATTTGTTACAAATGCCCCAGGTAAGTATTCAGATTAGTATCACCACAACTCCATGGAAAACTTCTCCAAATTTTATCTCAAAAACTTGGTATGAATCCACAGTAAATCCCACACATCTATAATCACAAGCAGAAAGAGAAAAAATAATCCAACAAAATTCTAAGCTTAATAGAACAGATGCCTCTTCCTGACAAGGAACAGCTGTCAGGCAAAGCAATGATTTGGGAGCTGAGTCTACTTTCTCACATTCCATAAGGTGTCAATATTTATCTTGAGACAAACTATTACTGAGTACTAGCAACTGTTAAGAAAAAGAAAGCCAATGAAACTCAGGCTGCTAGTAATGACAATTACCCAAATACAAGGAATTATTCTAAGACAAGAAATCCTAGAGGAGAACCCACTTTCTGTCAATGTCTTCCTGAAGGAAAGTCTGGACGAACAAATGTGTCTGTCAAACCCTTAGCAATGAACTGGAAAATACATTTAAAGTTGAACTTCATTAACCTTTCCCATACAAAGCAACCTCAAAATAGAGGTGCCACTAGTAAATAAGGACCAGAGAAGAAAACAGAGAAACCGGAAACAGGAGTTGGGAGAGCAGATGTATACAAAAGCTGGGTATATGACCCTCTTGGACACCTGAGAATTAAATGTTTTAAAATGAAGCTGTTTTAATAATATCAATGTCTGGCTTTCATTACCTGACAGGCAGATATATGTTAAATATTCTCCTTGACCCCCGGTTGCCAAGAAAGGAATCTTCTTCTTTGTCCTCCTCTTGACTTGGACAGCTCCCAGCATTCTTTCATCAAGAGGTGCAAAAATTTCCTTGCTGATGGCAGACTTGGCACTCATTGTAGAACAACTGAGGAGGGCACACAGTGAGTTTTCTAAAGAAGAAAAAAGAAAAGACAAGTTGAATTGACAATATGGTGAGGCTCCTATCAGAGTAAGCGGCAAGTTGATTTGCAGGTGAAGTAATGTCCAATTTGTTGTTTAAACTCGTTCCCTTGCTTGAAATGCACTGCAGAATCTTGAAAAGTAAGGTCTTCCCATTTGTGCTGTGAAAAATATAAAAAAAGAAAGGAATGCTGATGTACTCACTGAAAATGCCAAATACTACGGAGATAAACAGCTCAAAATGTTTTACCTAGCACGTTGGTCAATCTCTATCCCATTTGTACCTAACTGTAACTGGCGAGCAGTACCCACCCTCTGCCCCATTCCTATGCCTCCTATGCCATAAGAAACATGGTTTCACATTTCCAGTTGAGAAGTCTTTCCACTACCCAACAATCCTTAAAGTCACGAAGTTCTTTACGCTCCTTCAAAATCTCTGTTAACTCTAATGTAAATCCATTTCCCTAATTCTATTCACAGTGGAAATAATTATATCATCTTCTACATAATAACCCTACATGCAACAGAAGACCATTAATTTAATCACCCGTTAGCTGCTCTGGATCATGCTAAATAATTAATCCTTATTTATTAGCCTTTTTTCAATAGGTCCTATTTTCCAATGCTCCTCCGCATATAGCTGCCATGCTCCGGACCATTGACAAATTCTCCACATTTTTCTTCAGCCAGAGTGGACACAGAATTCTAAAAAAAAATATCTGACTAAGGCTAAGTATTTTGGAAATGTTTCCCAGCAGTTCCCACATGTCATGCTCTTGTGGATAACTGGCAACGTGTGCCCAATAATTAAGAAGATAAAGCAGTATGTTTCTGACTCACAATGAGTCCCTTCTCTCCCCACTACCAAACTCACATACATCCAGTCCCCATGTTATATTTAGTTTTTCAGAAGTTATACCTCCCTAATGGTCTTAATTCTGCTTCTTCGTGTCTATTATATTCAAGATCAGTCTGAATTTTAACCTTCTCATTCAAAAACCTCAGCAGCGACTCAAGTAAACGTTTTCTGTCCCATCATCCTGGTCACAGTCTGTGCCTTAATCGGTAACCAACATTTGTTTAACTAACAAATCAGAACTAGAGGGGCAGACAGGTGCTTGGGTTGGCCATGCGGATCATACCGAATATTCAGAAAGCCCGCAAATGGATCAGTAGCACAGCGCTACATGGTAACAGCAGCTCAAAGAGTTGGGCAGCCTGCTGCAAAATTGAGCCACTGGCAAACACCTACTACCTGCCATTTCTAGGCTCAGTATTAGAGATACAAGAATTATTTAGGACACGGTCCCTGTTCTCCAGGAGTTGATTGCTGACTACATCTAAGTTTTTTTTTTTTTTTAAGATTTTATTTATTTATTTGACAGACAGAGATCACAAGTAGGCAGAGAGGCAGGCAGAGAGAGAGGAGGAAGCAGGCTCCCCGCGGAGCAGAGAGCCCGATGTGGGGCTCGATCCCAGGACCCCGGGATCACAACTTGAGCTGGAGGCAGAGGCTTAAGCCACTACATCAATGGTTTTGCTTTAGGGGGGAAAACCAGAAGATCATCCCTCCTAATGCAAGATTCACAAATGATCCCAACATGGCTACCCATTAGGAACTTTGTCGTAGGAAAGATATATATTTAAAAAGAGCATTCCTCTGGCTAAAAATAAATAAATAAGTAAATAAAAATAAAAAAATTTCTCTTAGTTTCAATTCTGTAACAGAACAGGTTTTCTTAGTGGCACCAAGAATAAAGAATACAAAGTGCTGCTTTTTATTATATCTGCCAATATCTCCACTGCATATTATAGAGGTCTACAGCCAGATGTATTTGTGCTCTGATCGTGACATTTTATCAACACTACCAGGTTCTCCATACTGGCTGAGAACATTATGACAACACTGTAGGGGGCCCGGCTTTCAGTGTGCTCACCACTAACTGATACCCTGTGATTTTCCAGAAGTTAGCAAACAGAACTCTCCCCACTATGATTTATCCGGTGACTTTCCTAGGCAGGGTGAGGGTGTTATAATTTATAGGGACATTTTTAAAAGGAGAGCAAAGCGGGACGCCTGGGTGGCTCAGTTGGTTAAGCAGCTGCCTTTGGCTCAGGTCATGATCCCAGCGTCCTGGGATCGAGTCCCACATCGGGCTCCTTGCTTGGCGGGGAGCCTGCTTCTCCCTCTGCCTCTGCCTGCCATTCTGTCTGCCTGTGCTCGCTCTCTCTCCCTCTCTCTCTGACAAATAAATAAAAAAAAAAAAAAAAAAAAAAAAAAAAAAAAAAAAAAAAAAAAAAAAAAAAAAAAAAAAAAAAAGGAGAGCAAAGCAAGGCCTCTCTCACACTTCTTACCCTTTGGGGACATGTGAGAAAGAAAGCCAGCGGGAGCACAGCGGTTTCCAACACTCTATAAGCAATGCAGACAACACGTCATATCCCCAAACTCACCAGGCATTCTCTGACCAGTGCCTTTCTAACTGTGGTATGGCTTTTGCTTTCCTATCCTAGATTCACATTTTTCTAAAATTGTGGTTAAAGAAAAAGCTGTCATTTGATTGCGATTGTGTCAAATTTGCCAGGGGGAAAAAAAGAAGGAGCACGCATGTTTTACCAAACTCTTAGAAAATTCTCTTCTTCTTTTGAGAAACTGTTAAGAAATGGAAATGACCTTTTACTATTTTTTGTTTTTAAGATTTACTTATTTATTTTAGAGAGAGAGTGCACACACGTTCACATGTGCGAGTGCATTGGGAGAGAGGCAGTGAGAGAAGGAGAGAGAATCTCAGGTAAATTCTGCAGGAAGCGTGGAGCCTGACAGGGGGCTCAATCTCAGGACCCTGAGACCACAACCTGAGCCAAAATCAAAAGTTGGATGCTTAACCGACTGTGACACCCAGGTGCCCCCCCACCCATATACTGATATTTAATAGCCAAGCACAAAAATAACAAACAAAGCACGACGAAAAAACAGGAAAAATAAAACCAGTAACTTCACTGAGCACAGGTTTTGGAATCAAAACAAACCCGGATTCAAATTCCAGCTCCAATACTGAAGAGCTACATGAGACTGCGTAAAATCTCTTAAAATTCCAGACCCTTGGTTTACTAACTGCAACTAGAGATCTTCACCTACCTCATGGAACTATTGAAAGAATTAAATGGAATAGTGTATGCAAATCTCTTATTCTAGTGCATGAATCATAATAAACTCTTAAAAATGGAAAATTTTAATTAATTCTACTATAGTATGAAAAATAAAAGACCCTCTGAGCTTGCAGAAACTGAGTAAATGTAGCCATCCATACCAGCAGGGATTTGTAAAAGAGAAACTCAACTTTACCAAAGCTTCTTCCTCATTCATGGTATGAAACTCTCTAAATATGGATACATGGTCTATTTTATGAAAAGCTCTGTATTGTTTTCAGGATGAGGAATTTATAGACTTCACCCTCAGGAAACTCACTAGTAGGAGATTACTAAATGCATTCTATGGGAAATTGTCAAAAGTTTTTGTCCAGGACAATAATATTAGCAGCCCTATGCGACTGCACACGTGTGTATGTTTTTAACACCACCCTGGGAACGGGACTGTACTGTGGAATTTGTGTTTTTTTTTTAATTTTTATTTATTTTTTAAATTTCTTTTCACTATTCCAGAATTCATTGTTTATACAACACACCCAGTGCTCCATTCATAATACCCACCACCAGGCTCACCCAACCTCCCAGGAATTTGTGTGTATGTGGTTTTTTTTTTTTTTTTTTAAGATTTTATTTATTCATCTGACAGAAATCACAAGTAGGCAGAGAGGCAGGAAGAGAGAGAGGAAGGGAAGCAGGCTCCCTGCTGAGCAGAGAGCCCGATGCAGGGCTTGATCCCAGAACCCTGAGATTATGACCTGATCCGAAGGCAGACTCTTTAACCTACTGAGCCACCCAGGCGCCCCAAATTTGTGTTTTAAACAATTCTCTAACTGGTTCTCATGCAGCCACCCTGACACCTAATTTGAAGCCAACCACCTAATGAGGAGCTAGGGGATAGAAAGGAATGTATTCTTGGGAAAGAATACAGGAAGAGATGTACAGGATTTTCTCTCTTGATTCAAGCAAGCGGCTTTATCAGAACCTACCTCTTGTTGGTAAATCAATGTCCAGCCCAAGGCTGGGAACCCCACTATAAGGAGACAAGATGAATACAGCATCAGTGGTATGCCACTGACCAAAGGTACTCTAATCTACATCGTGCTGAAGGTAGCAGGATGTGCCACCCCAATATAGGCCACCCCAAAATAATGCCACTTCAGTATTTTAATAATTTTGAACTGAAGGCATCTGGAAAAAGTGAATGTGAGCAGAGACTTTGTCTGAACTCCCCTCATCTACCTGAAGACAGATCCTCTAAAAGGAACTCAGTAAATTCCCTACCCAAGAGTTTCATCAACCAGAGAAGATGGTCGCTTGTCACAGGAGAGGAGACTAGAAGAGGACACCACACCCAGGACAGATTTTCTCACAGACTATCACATTCCCCATTTGTTCTTCTAAGGGTGCCCTCAATCTTTCCTAAAAATCATTTACTCTAGTCCCCTAAGAGTCCTATATCCCTGTTCCCCTTTCCCTATTGGGATGGTCTTTAACCCTGAATTCCAAGGATTTTCAGAGAGTTACTCGTTCTTTCCTGGTATCCATTAGGATATGTGCTCTTCCCAGGTATCCATGAGGCATATGTGCTAATAAACTTTTATTTTTCTCTTATTATTGTCTTTTATTATAGGGGTCTCAGCTAAGAACTCAGAAGGGTAGAAAGAATATTAGTTTTCCTTCCCCACAACCCCATGGAGGTTTTTTCTCTTCCTGGTCTACAGCTTCTATAGGCTATAATTACAAAGCTTTTCCATCCAAGAAACCAACCTACAATATGATTTGCAAGTCAAAGCATCTGGCTGCCTTAAGTGGTAATTGTAGAAACTAATCTCAGTTAGTTTAA